GTTGGTGTGTTGGGAAATGAAGAGGCAGACAGACTGGCTGGCTCTGCACAACTTGGTGGAATATGATAAGGCAGACATGTTTAAAACCTTGTGGAAGAACGTGTACAATTCCCCCGGAGCAAATGGATCACCAGTCTGGTAAGAATGATGCAGTGAGGAGTGACTAGGGGATCCGGCCAATACTCGACGCTCAGAGGAAAGTCAAGAAGGATCAGAATGCCACTGGCATCATTGGTATTGGAAATCTGCACAGGCTGTTGAAGAGTGGGGTGAATTACTCATGTGAATGCCTTGAGTGCTGTGTTCTCGATTCCTGAATTAACTCAGCTCAACTCGACTTTCCAAGTGAAGGAACAATCCAGTCTGTTTTTAAAATCTATTCATGCTAACAGAGGACTAAAACGAATATATATCCGTGTGAACGTCACCATTTCTTCTTGTTAACAGAGTTAACAAGTTCTTAAGTAAATTAGTATTAATGAGGTTTTATTTGGCTGATGAGTAAACTCAGATTATAAACAGCATAATAATTCCAACACTGAGCTACCAGTGCCAGTCATGGACATTATCTAAAGCCCATGTAAACAAAATCACCATTTGCGAGATAAGGTGCCTGATATAAGCCGCCAACCTAAACATCAGAGATCTAGTGAATAATAATACTTTCAGATCGATTGTGGAAACAACACCGTTGTGTTCGATTTATGAAGAAACAACAGATCAAGTGGTTCAGCCATCCTGTTGGAATACACCATCACAGGCACTGCATCTCAGAGGATCAGTTACAACAGCAAGAGAACGGCCACACAACATATGGATCGACAACATTAAAGACACCTTACAGATGCACAGCATGACAACAGTCGGTGCCAGCCAGCGTGCATCACAAATTATTCCTCCCTGTGACGCTCAATGACAGAAGTGTTTTATCACGATGATGACAACAATGATGATGATGAATAAAGTGCAAATAAATGGTAAAGCTATCTTTTTTGTTCTATGTCAGTGGTACGTCGAACACACAGAGCTAAACCCCTATTTATATACAACAACCAACTTTTGATGAGTGATGTTACTGGAAATATGCAATATTTGTTCCATGTAAGAGAATAAGATGATGATTTTGCAAACTGTTTCCAGTTTCTTCTTCTTAATTTTCACTGGCTGTAAACTACCGGGCAAAGTTTTGGTCATTCATCCATTTCTGATCTTTGGTCTTGTTCCAGAACTTGAGTTTTGCGTGCACATTCGTTCCGCATATCTGGATTAAAACTGTTTGTTTGAAACTAGAGGTCATCTAATGCCGGGAATCTGTTTAAAATATTTATTTCTCCTCTCTGTGTGGGTTCCAGGGCCCCATTGTGGGAAAAACAAGAACAGACCCACTACTTGCCACATAAGTGTATAAAAGTCGGCTAAATGGGAGCTTCATTCGAAGTCGGAGTAATCTGCCTTAGAAGCAAAGTATCAACAGTCTGCATGCAAATTAGACAATGCTGCGAAACAGATATGCATGCAACACCTAGTTCCTGGAATAGGAGCAGACTGCAGAAGTGGATGAACAAGAACTTTCTGCGGGAGTTTAAAGCCAGTAAACACGAAAAAGAAAAAATATTTATTTCTCAATTTTGGGCTAAAGAACTAGGGTCATCTTATACATAAAAAAATATGTTACGCTAATTTTTAAATATTGCTCAGGTCTGTATCTGAATTACGTTTTTGTTAAATACCTTTGCAACTGTCATTAGGAAAGAAAATAAGGGCATCTGAGCTGATATGCTACAGAAAGATTCTTAGAATGCATAGACCAAGAAGAACAGAAATACTGACATCCTAAAAAAATCTGAACATCAAAGAGGATTGGCTAGTAAACAGCACCTTGTCTCAGCAACATCAATATTTTAGCCATATTAAGCCCCACGGCTGATTGGAAAGAATAGTAATGGGTATGGTACCTGGTTGGGGGGCGTAGGAGGGAGGGGGGGGGGCACCAGCATGAAGGTGTGAGCAGGACATAATAGGCACCTTGAGTAGGAAAGTATACGAGGTGGGAGAGATGACGGGGGAATGAGTTTCTTTCAGGTAGGCTGTGAATCCTAAATGTAACCAGAAGTGACAGGATGAGAAAAGACAATATCAGGAAAGAAGTTGGGACAGACCCAGTATTAAACTACTTTTTTTTTTAAAACAACAGATAAACATCATGGCACACGGGCAGTAACCCATAAGTGCTCAGTTCTTCTAACTCAAGTCTGAGTCCAAAGAAGCTCAGCAAAGTGCACATGCTCTGTAGCACCGGTGAGGATCCTGAAATTGATTTTGGGTAGATTTTAAACTCCAAATTTTGCTGGACAGCGCCGTTAGGCTACTATTTTTGATTTCAAACTGCCAAGGGATTCTTTACGTGCACAACAATGAGCACGGGTGTCTGATCTGACTACCTAGAGACCAGGGGGAATTACTAGAAGTCCAAGTCCACATTTAAAAAAAAAAACCAGCCCTTACCAGGAACTGAACCCGGAACCTCTAGCCCTCGAGGCGGACACCTTGCCTCGAGATCACGCAGTCCCCTTAGTACTGAACTACACCAAAAGCTGACAGATGAAAAAGTTTGGACATGTGTCAAGACTACCATTAGACAGTGTATCACAGAGAGCCCTGTCACTTGGACACAATGGAAGCATTCTAGAGGCTGACCACACAAGCAATGGATAAACAGAATATCCAAGGCTATAAATACCTTCATCTACATAGCAAACTCAAAAGCTCTAACATGAAACCTATTCAAAACCTGAATTTGAAAGGCAGAACAACAGGACTGGAGGAGGAGGAGGAGAAGGCTGTAATGAGAGTAATAATCTTGAAAGGATCTGCCACATGACGATGATCTTTATAAGTGTCAAACTTACTGACTTTTCCTCATGAATAAGTCTAGGGTTAGTTAACTGTCATGCAGTCAAACAAAAACTTCAGGCTGTTATTATCAAACCAAACACTGCGACTATAAAAGGGAACTGTTAAAGAATGCTGAGACACAATAAAGAAAACATGCCAATTGCCCATCATCCTGAAATTAATATGGGAAAAACAGCAGTCAGTGCAAAGCAGCAAAGGAAAACAGCAGTCAGTGCAAAGCAACAAGGAAAAACAGCAGTCAGTGCAAAGCAACAAGGAAAAACATCAGTCAGTGCAAAGCAAAAAGGAAAAACAGTTATAGGTTGCATATTTTGAATAATAGGCAGACTGAAAAACTTATGGGAGACAGAAAGAGGGTGGTGGAGAAGGAGGAAGAGTCAGGGAGGTGGTAGAGAGAGGGAAATAGAGGGAAATAGAGGGTGGGAATTAGAAACATAGAGGGAGAAAGAAAGTGTGAAATAGGAAGCGAGCAAGAGAAAAAGATAACAGAGAGAGATGGAGGACTATACACACACACATAAACATTTATACATATAAATACACACACACACATTAATACACATAGAGTAGGAAATATGAGGCATAAATACACACAGACACAAATACATATTTATCAACACAAAGAAGGTTTGTCAAACCCCTCCCCCCTCCCACCCCCATCATCAACAATGTGATTACTGACAATGTTTTGTCTTGCAGTTATCTTGTACAAACTGTTCATACAAATTATAAACATACGTGGCTTTTGGTTTTATAAATCATTAAAAAAAAATATTTCCTTATGGTTAAAAAAAAAAATCATACTTTAACAGATGATTACAAGTATAAATGCACTCCCAAAAAAACTGTGTGACAAACCCAACCCCCCCCCCCCCCCCTTTTTGGGGGGGGGGGGGTGAAAATTCCTTGTGCCTCCACCCCTCTTCCCCCAGACGAAAAAGAAGGAGAAGGAGGAGGAAGAAGTAGGAAGTAGAGGAGCAGAAAAAGAAGAAGAAAGGGAAGCAGTGAGCTTTACAATAACCACACAAAATATATATATATATATACACACATATATCTCACACACATACATATATATATATATTTAGAGAGTGAGAGACAGACAGAGAGAGACAGACAGACAGAGAGAGAGAGAGACAGACAGAGAGAGAGAGAGAAAGAGAGAGAGAGAGAGAGAGAGAGATGCACCCACGCACACTCACACAGAAACTCAATTTAAGTGTTATGCATCTTTTCATGAAACTTCAAAGCACTATAGCCAGTATTTAAATTCTGATGGATGATCTTAATGGATGACAATCTGAACTTGTAAATGTTTACTTGAACTTTTACATAATACACAATGTTATGCTGAAACATGGAGGATGACTAACACAATTACTAATAAAATATAAAAAAAAAATCATTAACTGGTGAATGTCCCAAATAGAAGGGAATTCAATGGTATGGCATAATGTGACAGAATCATTAATGTGAAGTTCTGGGAAACACTAAAAATGCTTCCAGTGAACAAGAGGTGAGGGTTCAACTACGTATATCACACAGCTTTTGGAACACCCCGTAAACTATACAACATATATTTTGAATCAATTTATAAACTTTTGGAACAACATAGAGACTATACCACACATATTATAGAACAACTTACACTTCAAACAACATAGGTTTTAAAAAAAAACATACACTTTGGTTTTATGGCATTATAAACTCTATATAACTTAGGTTTAAGAACAACATTTACACCATACAACATAGGTTTTTTGAACATACACTTAACATACACTATACAAAAAAGTTTTTTAAAGAACATATACTTTACATACACTATACAACATAGGTTTTAGAACAATGTACACTATAATACACTATACAATACAAGTACTAAAACAACACAGAGGCTATAAAAATAGGTATTAGAACAAAAAGCATTCTACATAACAATGTACATACTATACAAGATAGATAATTAAAAAACATACACAACACAAGTTTTGTCTATGCAACACAGCTATTAAAACAACAAACAGATTACAGAATAAATGTACAGCAACCAAACTCAGCCGCACATGTCAAAGGGCACTCACCTCATTGGTAGATTTTAACAGCTTGGCGATCAGTTTTCTCACAGCCACAAGCTTGGTTTTGGTCTCTTCTGATTCTTGTTTCCGCACGGTTGCTTCTGTCTGGAAGTTGCTCACCAACTGTGGGCCAGACCATATTTGACAGTTTACACATAAACTCTGGACTAGAGAATATCTGACAGTTTACACATAAACTCTGAACGAGATAATATCTGACAGTTTACACATAAACTCTGAACAAGATAATATTTGACAGTTTACACATAAACTTTGAATGAGATAATATCTGACAGTTTACACATAAACTCTGGACTAGACAATATTTGACAGTTTACACATAAACTCTGGACGAGATAATATTTGACAGTTTAAACATAAACTCTGAACAAGACAATATATGACAGTTTACACATAAATTCTTGACTAGACAATATTTGACAGTTTACACATAAACTCTGGACTAGACAATATTTGACAGTTTACACATAAACTCTTGACTAGACAATATCTGACAGTTTACACATAAACTCTGTACTAGACAATATCTGACAGTTTACACATAAACTCTGTACTAGACAATATCTGACAGTTTACACATAAACTCTGTACTAGACAATATCTGACAGTTTACACATAAACTCTGGACTAGAGAATATCTGACAGTTTACACATAAACTCTGTACTAGACAATATCTGACAGTTTACACATAAACTCTGTACTAGACAATATCTGACAGTTTACACATAAACTCTGGACTAGAGAATATCTGACAGTTTACACATAAACTCTGGACTAGAGAATATCTGACAGTTTACACATAAACTCTGTACTAGACAATATCTGACAGTTTACACATAAATTCTGGGCTAGAGAATATCTGACAGTTTACACATAAACTCTGGACGAGATAATATTTGACAGTTTACACATAAACTCTTGACTAGACAATATCTGACAGTTTAAACATAAACTCTGAACAAGACAATATTTGACAGTTTACACATAAACTCTGAACAAGACAATATTTGACAGTTTACACATAAACTCTGAACAAGATAATATTTGACAGTTTACACATAAACTCTGAACAAGACAATATTTGACAGTTTACACATAAACTCTGAACAAGACAATATCTGACAGTTTACACATAAACTCTGAACAAGACAATATTTGACAGTTTACACATAAACTCTGAACAAGACAATATTTGACAGTTTACACATAAACTCTGAACAAGACAATATTTGACAGTTTACACATAAACTCTGAACAAGACAATATCTGACAGTTTACACATAAACTCTGAACAAGACAATATCTGACAGTTTACACATAAACTCTGAACAAGACAATATTTGACAGTTTACACATAAACTCTGAACAAGACAATATTTGACAGTTTACACATAAACTCTGAACAAGACAATATCTGACAGTTTACACATAAACTCTGAACAAGACAATATTTGACAGTTTACACATAAACTCTGAACAAGACAATATTTGACAGTTTACACATAAACTCTGAACAAGACAATATCTGACAGTTTACACATAAACTCTGAACAAGACAATATTTGACAGTTTACACATAAACTCTGAACAAGACAATATTTGACAGTTTACACATAAACTCTGAACAAGACAATATCTGACAGTTTACACATAAACTCTGAACAAGACAATATTGACAGTTTACACATAAAACTCTGAACAAGACAATATCTGACAGTTTACACATAAACTCTGAACAAGACAATATCTGACAGTTTACACATAAACTCTGAACAAGACAATATTTGACAGTTTACACATAAACTCTGAACAAGACAATATCTGACAGTTTACACATAAACTCTGAACAAGACAATATCTGACAGTTTACACATAAACTCTGAACAAGACAATATTTGACAGTTTACACATAAACTCTGAACAAGACAATATTTGACAGTTTACACATAAACTCTGAACAAGACAATATTTGACAGTTTACACATAAACTCTGAACAAGACAATATTTGACAGTTTACACATAAACTCTGAACAAGACAATATTTGACAGTTTACACATAAACTCTGAACAAGACAATATCTGACAGTTTACACATAAATTCTGGACTAGAGAATATTTGACCCTTTACACGTAAACTCTGGACTACAAAAATTTGACAGTTTATACGTAAACTCTGGATTAACAAAAATTTGACAGTTTACATATAAACTCAAGACGAAACATTATTTGACAGTTTACACATAAACTGTGGACTAAGAAAAATGTGACAGTTTATTCCAAAAATAAAATAGACAGACAGCAGAGACAGACAGAGACAGACAGACAGACAGACAGACAGACAGACAGACAGAGACAGACAGACAGACAGACAGACAGACAGACAGACAGACAGACAGACAGACAGACAGACAGACAGACAGACAGACAGACAGACAGACAGACAGACAGACAGACAGACAGACAGACAGACAGACAGACAGACAGACAGACAGACAGACAGACAGACAGACAGACAGACAGACAGACAGACAGACAGACAGACAGACAGACAGACAGACAGACAGACAGAGACAGAGAGACAGAAAGAGAGACAGACAGAGACAGAGACAGAGAGAGAGACAGACAGAGAGAGAGACAGAGAGAGAGAGAGAGAGAGAGAGAGACAGAGAGAGAGAGAGAGAGAGAGAGAGAGAGAGAGAGAGAGAGAGAGAGAGAGAGAGAGAGAGAGAGAGAGAGAGAGAGAGAGAGCAAGCGCTGTGGACAAGACTATTTTTGTAGTTTAAAAATAAACTGTTGATGAGACAATAGTCTCATCGGAAGGTCGTAGGTTCGCTCCCTGGCAGAGCCTGACTTTTTTCACAAATGACCTCAACTCCCAGGTCGACCCAGCCTTGAGTGGGTACCGGGTGCAGTCCCGGGAAGTAAATGCAGCCAGTGTGATGCTGACCACATCACCCATCTTGTGCTAATTGGTCTTTTAAAAAATAGGTCTAGCCCTATATGCCCAATACGCTTAAGAGTGTGGAAAAGGGACCGAATTAGTACTTGGTAATGTGGTCACGCTTATGCTAAGCTAGAAACCGAAAGGCAACAGAAGAAAAGGATGGAGAAGAGTATTGCAAGAATAGCTACACATAAACTGATCAGCACATCACGCAGAAGTTAAACCACGGATAAAATCGGAGACAGGGACAAGTTAGTCATAACTGGTTGTACAACAGACAAAAATAAAGAGGATAACAATTTGAAAACAATTAATTTTTTTTACACACACTGTCCTTTTATTTTTCTACATAATTTCCACCAACATCGATGCACCTGTCCCATCATTTTTCAGTCCTGGCAAACCCGCTGCATAGAACTGAGTGCTCTGTGTTCCAAACCATATTTTCACTTCATATTCCACTTCTGATTCATTCGCGAAATGTTATGGGTTAAGTTGGGGCTGTAAGGTGGATGTTCCAGAAGTTCCCACCCAAGATGGTTACATTTCTCCTTAGTAAACCCAGCCCTGTATCATGAAGGAGCAGTACTTCATGAAGAAGCAATTCTTCATGAACGAACAGTACTTCACGAAGGAGCAATATTTCATGAAGGAGCAGTACTTCACGAAGGAACAGTAATTTATGAGGGAGCAGTACTTCATGAAGAATCAGTTTTTTATGAAGGAGCAGTACTTCACAAAGGAACAGTACTTTATGACGGACCAGTACTTCATGATGCAGGAGTTCTTCATGATGCAGCAGTTCTTCATGAAGGAGCAGTACTTCATAAAAGAGTAGTACTTCATGAAGGAGCAGTACTTCATAAAGGAACAGTACTTCATGAAGGGGCAGTACTTCATAAAGGAGCAGTACTTCATGAGGGAGCAGTACTTCATGAAGGAGCAGTACTTCATGAAGGAGCAGTACTTCATGAAGGGGCAGTACTTCATGAAGGAGCAGTACTTCATGAGGGAGCAGTACTTCATGAAGGTGCAGTACAGAAAAGAAGAAATACTATATACGAAGCAAACAGAAGGGTCAGTTCCAGAGATGACTTAGTGCCCTGATGCAAAAAGGTATTTCACGAGTAGGGAAAGGAAAAAGAAGTAAATCAATCAACTAATCGCATGGAAGAATAAGAAATAAATCAATCAACCAATCACATGGAAGAATAAGAAAAAAATAAATCAACCAATCACAAGGAATAATAAGAACTCAATCAATCAACCAATCACAAGGGAGAAGAAGAAGCAAATCAATCAACCAATCACATGGGCCTTACTCACCCTTCTTAATCCCCTCTCATAATGGTCAAAGAAATCATCCAATGGGAAGTCTGATAATTCTTGCAATGACATAGCTGTTATGGCATCCTTATCCATAATCCACTGAGGAGGTAGGAAGTAGCGCAAACAGGTTCTGAGAAGAGAAACAGCGAAACAAACGGGAGTCAGTAAGCATACATTGTAAATATGTTTCAAATATAAACAGAAAGACAACCAGTAATTAATAAGCACATACAATAAACATTCTAAGACATCTGTGAAAGAAAAACAATCAGTAATTAGGAAACACATATAGTAGACATGTTCTAAGAACAGAAAAAAAGAAAACCAATAAATAATTAGGAAACATACAGTAGACATGTTCTGAGAACAAAACCAGTGAACTAGCAATTAATAAGCACTGATTGCAAGCCCTATGCCATTGTCACCTAAGTGTATTTTTAAGGCTGTCACTTGTCACATAACAATATATCAAAGGCATATATGTGAATTTGTACTTCAAATATGTCAACAACAAAAAAAGAAGTATTTATTTTCAAGCAACTAGACAATTTACATTTGCCACGATCGAAAGACTGAAATGGTTTGGCCACTGGTCAGAATGAACCCAACATTATCAGTTGCAAGGGCATACAACATGAGAATGGAAACATCAAGAGGCAGAGGAAGGTTAAGAAGAATATGGACTTGCTGAAACTCAACAATATCACCATGCAACAAGCTAGTGAGCATGAACTACCCTGGAAACTGATCACTAGTAGTGCCTGCGACGCCCAACAGCAATAAGCAGAGAAAGACAATATAGATAGATAGATAGACAGACAATCTGACTTTTCATACAGACAATGTTCAAACGTGATATTTTCTTTCTCTCCCCCCCCCCCCCCCCCCCCCCCAAGACCCAGCAGTAAGGTGTCTTGCACAGTGCCAATGATAAACATGTTCTGAAAACATGAATATAAAGACACCTAGTAACTACTGAGCATATATCCCTATGTGGGCTCCAGAGACCCATTTTGGGGGGGGGGGGGGGGGGGGGAGGACAGAACAGACTCTCTGCTTCATTCGATGGCACCCATTTTCTCACAACAAGCAACAGAAATCTATGTGATACAGCATCTAAACCTTTCAGCAAAACCCCCTTGCTCACAACAGAAACAAACCGTCACACAGCATCTATACCTTTCAGCAGAACCTCCTTGCTCATAACAGAAACAAACCTGTCACACAGCATCTATACCTTTCAGCAGAACCTCCTTGCTCATAACAAAAACAAACCATCACACAGCATCTATACCTTTCAGCAGAACCTCCTTGCTCATAACAGAAACAAACCTGTCACACAGCATCTAAACCTTTCAGCAGAACCCCCTTGCTCATAACAGAAACAAACCTGTCACACAGCATCTAAAAATTTCAGCAGAACCCCCTTGCTCATAACAGAAACAAACCTGTCACACAGCATCTAAACCTTTCAGCAGAACCCTCTTGCTCACAGCAGAAACAAACTCGTCACACAGCAACTAAACCTTTCAGCAAAACCCAATTGCTCATAACAGAAACAAACCTGTCATACAGCATCTAAACCTTTTAGCGGAACCCCCTTGCTCATAACAGAAACAAACCTGTCATACAACATCTAAACCTTTTAGCAGAACCCCCTTGCTCATAACAGAAATAAACCTGTCACACAGCATCTAAACCTTTCAGTAGAACCCCCATGCTCATAACAGAAACAAACCTGTCACACAGCATCTAAACCTTTTAGCAGAACCCCCATGCTCATAACAGAAACAAACCTGTCACACAGCATCTAAACCTTTTAGCAGAAGCCCTTGCTCATAATAGAAACAAACCTGTCATTCTAAATTCACAGACACCCTTTTCTTCTTATCACAAGAGAAAGAAACCTGTCACTCAAACTATAAATCTTTCAGCAGGAAACATTTTCTCATAATACGAGGGGAAGTCAATAAGTCAGTCACAAATGGTTTCGGAATGGCAGGAAAATGTAGTTGCTGGTTTCTAAAGGTGTCATTAGGCGACAGCAACATCAAACTTTATATGTCTCAGTTCGTTAGATGGCGCTAGGTCATGCATGCGTATTCGCAACAGAGAAACAAAATAGCGACTGTATAAATGGAGTGTACCCTCAAAAAACAACATGCTTGTTTTGGGGTTTTTTTTGTGTGGGCGACAGGGATGCCTGCAAAGGACATTCTTAAGTAAATGTTTCCTGTTTATGCTGGCAAATGTTTATCTCGTAAAGCATTGAATAGGCGGGTAAAAAAAAAATTCTGTTTATACAACATTTCAAAATAAACAGTGAGAAGGCGAAACAGGACAGGCTATGCTTATCAGCATGGCATTTGTAACAACAGAAAAGCGGCCATGCCACCCAACAAATAGACCCACCGGTAGCCATTTGCAATGTCCTCGGTGATCTGGCTGGTCACTGCGGGTGTGGTGGTGGAGGAGGTAGGTGCTTCAGCCCCATCTTGTGAGGAGGGGGATGGTGGAGTTTCACTGGAATCCTGAATAACGTTATGAGAATATCAATATTAGTAATAATAATAGCAATACAACAATATACTGATATAATTATAATAATACAACAGAATATTGAGATAATCACTACTATAATTGAAAAAAAAAAAAGTAAGGAACCCTTTTAAATGCCTCTGGGCATATTGGGTATATAGGGCTAAACCTATATTTTATATTCCAACTGGCACTTGGTGGGTGATGTGGTCAGCATTATGTCGGCCGCCTTTACTTCCCAGGACTGTACTTGGTATCCACTCAAGGCCTGGTCAACGTGGGAGCCAAGGTTATTTGTGAACAAGGTTGAAATAATGTAACAGAATTCTGAGATAACTAAAAAAAAATTATAATACAAAGGGGTTTCAAATGAAACGAATGTATGACAGAAACACTGCCATTGTCCTGTGGTAGATCTTCTTCTTCTTCGCGTTCACCACCTGCTGCACACTGCTAAAAAGTTCTGGTTGTTCTTGCACTTCTGAACTCTAGCCCTGCTCCAGAACCTGAGTGTTGTGTGTGCATTAGTTTTAAAGATCTGATTCATCTGAATGAAGACTGTTGGTTCCTTGCCTCTCAGACAGATGCACTCCGATTTCAAAGGAAGCTCCCCAGTTTAGTCTAAACTTACGACATGCTTTTGGGCAGGTAGTAGGTCCATTCTTCTTTTCCCACAATGGGGCCCTAACCCACACGGGGAGATTGGTGGATAATGGCTACCACACGGGGAGATTGGTGGATAATGGCTTCCACATGGGAAGATTGGTGAATAATGGCTCCCACACGGGGAGATTGGTGGATAATGGCTACCACAAGGGGAGATTGGTGGATAATGGCTCCCACATGGGGAGATTGGCGGATAATGGCTACCACAAGGGGAGATCGGTGGATAATGGCTCCCACACAGGGAGATTGGTGGATAATGGCTACCACAAGGGGAGATTGGTGAATAATGGCTACCACACAGGGAGATTGCGGATAATGGCTGAGTATGGTGATACATGCCTGTCGGTCCAACAAGTGTATGAACGGAGTAGGAAGTTTCAAAAAGTGCAACTTCTGTGACAGTCTACTCTGAGTGTCTGACCCGGTCGTGAAACAGCGCTCAACACTCTTGACATTCTTAACAACACTAGTGTTAATCAAACAAACCCACTTTTGTGAAATAGGATATTTCTTGTTGGTGCCATCTTCACAACGAAGGTAGGCTGCAGTTATCCATTGTTGCTGGCTTTGGAAATACAACATGGGGAGAACCCAGTTCCAATCTCTTCCACTGTGCAATTCTCATGCTGGTGACAGGTTCGATTCCCAGCACGGTAACTACAGCTTTCGATTTTTATGTTGTCTAGTGTGTTCTTCTATCTTTCTACTTCTTTCTATGAGTGCTGATCAATACATTTTCTGTTACTTTATTAATATATAATATTTAACCGGCTCAAGGGTTCCCCCTCTATTTATTTACGCTACTCTCTGAAAGGTCCTTGTGGCATGTTAAAAAGTAAAGCAGAGAACCCTTTTTCCTGCCTTCAGCTTCTAGGCATAGAGAGATAGACATATATTCTATAAACAAGTCAGCACTCGCGGGGTGATGTGGTCAAGGTCACGCCAGCCACCTTTACTTCCCAGATACTGGTACCCATTTCAGGCAGATAGAGATAATCTATTTCAAGTGAATAAAAGAAGAAGAAGAACAAGAACAAGAAGAAGAAGGCTGGATAGACCTGGGAGTCAAAACCATTTTTGGGACACCATGGAGGCTCCCTTGTGGCTTAATTTTGGATAATACAAAAATGTTTACAAAAATGTTCCATCTAACATTTGGAGGGAGGGCTAGGAGGTAGTGGGCCTATTCTCTCCCAACTCGGGGACCTATATGAGGAATAATGAGACTGACACCCTTACTTTTTCTGGAGTTTTTAGTTAGTCAGCTGCTGTTCCAATTTCATGGAAAACTTGTCACCCCATAACCACCAGCTCAAGCCCTACTGACCGGCGTAGGCATTTATGCCTCTCTCTGCAGATCTCGGCCCTTTGTCCTCTCAATCAGTTTCACCAATGATATCCCTCTGTTTCACCGTCGCAGTCCCTCCGTCATCGTCTCTCTCAGTCTGCCTCTCCCTCTTCTACCAATGATCTACCCAGTCATCACAATATTCTTTTCCAAAGACCCCCCCCCCCTACCCTCCCCCTATTACAGGAATCGCATACACACACATATTAAGCAATAAGACAGCCTCAGCTAGTGTGCCTTATGCAGTTTTAAAACAAACTGAAGCTTAAAATTCATACCTGTTTTATGTCGAGCATGCGTATATCTGGACCTGCTTTGTCAAACCTGAAACGTGACAACAAAACATACATCTACCTATCATGTCAAAGTAGTTCTGCAAAATACAAGCAATCTACAGTAAGATTTAAAAATAAAACTGAAAATGATCAAGCAATTGCAGTTTCAACTTCATAGCGAACAGGCCACCCAATAGTTGCTCCATTTTTGTTGGCAACTTCATAGCGAACAGGCCACCCAATAGTTGCTCCGTTTTTGTTGGCAACTTCATAGCGAATAGGCCACCCAATAGTTGCTCCATTTTTGTTGGCAACATCATAGCAAATAGGCCACCCAATAGTTGCTTCGTTTTTGTTGGCAACTTCATAGCGAATAGGCCACCCAATAGTTGCTCCATTTTTGTTGGCAACTTCATAGCGAATAGACCACCCAGCAGTTGCTCCATTTTTGTTAGCAACTTCATAGCGAATAGGCCACCCAAAAGTTGCTCCATTTTTGTTGGCAACTTCATAGCGAATAGACCACCCAATAGTTGCTCCATTTTTTTTGGCAACTTCATAGTGAATAGGCCACCCAATAGTTGCTCCGTTTTTGTTGGCAAATTCATAGCGAATAGACCACCCAATAGTTGCTCCGTTTTTTTTTTGGCAACTTCATAGCGAACAGGCCACACAATGGTTGCTCCATTTTTGTTGGCAACTTCATAGCAAACAGGCCACCCAATAGTTGCTCCATTATTGTTGGCAAATTCATAGCGAACAGGCTACCCAATAGTTGCTCCATTTTTGTTGGCAACTTCATAGCAAACAGGCTACCCAATAGTTGCTCCTTTTTTGTGCCAACAAAACCTACATAGAATGCTTAACTCTACCAGAGACTGCTGTACCGCTGTACCATAACACAGTGCCTTTAAAGGGCATAATGCAGGTGAAACAGGATGCGTTTGTTATTGCTTCTGTGTCTGGTTAGCTAACAGGTGGGCCGTGAGTACAAAAGTTGAGAAACACTGCTGTAAAGGATATGCAGCTAACTTTTATGAACACTACTGTTCAGCAGCACTGGCAAATTGATGAATTAGAACAGTGGCTCTCAACCCTCCTAATGCCAGAACCCTTTACTACAGTTCCCTCATGTTGTGGCAAACCCCAAACAATAATTTTCCTTCATAACTTTGATGAATATGTGTTTCCGATGGTCTTAGGCAACCCTGGGGAAGAGTTGTTGGACTTAAAAAAAAAAAAAAGGGTCACGACCTGCAGAACTAGAAGTTCTAAGTTAAATCAGTGTTGGCATTTTTCATATGGCATCTTGTGTCCATGAACAAACCTCTCATATTCATTAGCTGCTGCTGACTGTCTGATCTGCTCACTCCAGCTCTGACAGTCACATGTGATGGATTTCACGGTTGCATACCTGAGGCTTTATCCAGCCAGTCTATATTAGACTCATCAAGAAGAGTGTTCAGTTTTTTTTTGTTTTTTTTAAATCATTCTACCTGATGCCATGGAAAACACTGTGGTGGAGTGGCTAGACTCTCACCTGCGGATCAGAAGGTTGTGGGTCTGCACCTGGCGGAGCTGGAACTTTCTTCTCTTTTTTTTTTCTTCAAAAATTACCTTGGCTCCCAGGTCAACCCAGCCTTGAGTGGGTACTGGGCAAAACCCGGGGAAGTCAAGGCTGCCGGCTTGATGCTGACCATATCACCCATCTTGTGCTTATTGGTCTATAAAATATAGGTCTAGCCTTATATGCCCTATACCCCTAAAGGCGTGGAAAAGGGTCCATTACTTTTACTTACTTTATATGATGCCACAACTAAGCTTCAAGAAAAAAAAAATAACACAGAGTTTTATTCTTTCTGTTTCTTATATTTTTTTTAAATTAGTAAAAACTAGTGTCTAAGAAAGGTAATTAGACACCCAAGCTAAATATTCCCCACAAGGATCACTTTGCTGCCTTTCAGGAAAGGGACAATGTGTTATATTCAGACTAAGAACAAGGCACAACAGACTTCGCTAACATTTGTTAATTAAAATGCTTCTTTCAGTGCTTTATTAATATCCTACCCCAAACAGGGGAAATCCACAGGTTATGGGACAGTCTAATATTTCCTAGGGTGGTAGATAGGCTGCATGGACCTTGGCTGCACTCTCTCGTGGGTTGGGGTTAGGGCCAGTTCTAGGTGTTTTGGGGTCGTTAAAAGCATCAGAAAGCCGGAAAACCCAGTTTTACCACCCTCTAAAATGTTGGACTTTCCTGTGACGTCATCTGGGGGGGGGGGGCAGAATATTATTAAAGAACCCTCCTTTCTAGAAAACACGATGTGTCCCTGAAACATGGCACCAAAAAATGCTGAGCATGTGCTCCAACAATATTAAATGTATGCTGCCCACAAATAAATACTGTTTCAACCTCAATGAAGCCCCAAAATGTGGTTTACTTGGAGATGTCTCTCCCCCCCCCCCCCACTCCTCGTGTGGGTTCAGGGACCCCATTATAGGGACAAACAAGAATAGACCCACTGCCTATCCACAAGTATGTTGTAAGAGTCGACTAATTAGGAGCTTCCTTCAAAGAGGGAGTGCATCTGTCTGAGAGGCAAGAAACCAACAGATTGCACACAAATGTGTCAGATCTGTCAAACGGATGCACAAGCAACACTCAGGTTCTGGAACAGGACTGCAGTCCAGAAGTGGGCGAACAACCAGATCTTTCCACCAGAATTTACAGCTTGTGAAGGCAAAGAAGAAGACTTAGAGATGCTTGACTGCACCACAGCCTTCATAAAGGCTACCTGCCTTCTGGAGGAGGGGTGGGGGCTATGATCTTGTCTTGTCACCTAATTCTAAAAATCCTTGCTAGACGGGACGTGTGTGAAAGCCATAAAACACACCACAACAGCCAGTGTTGGTTGGTGACCGGCACGGTAACTTCAGCCTGAGATTTTTTATGTTGTCTAGTGTGTCCTTCTATCTTTCTATGAGTGTCGATTAAAACATTGTTCGTTTATAATATATATAATATTTATACGGCTTCAATGCCCCCCCCCCCCCCTGTTTACTGAAATCATAAAGATCGGGGAAGTCATCAAAACCTCCGACTAACCAAAAATGTGTCGTGATCATCGCAGGTTTGAGAAGCCCTGGCCCAGAGATCCACAATGTTTCCACTTCAGCCCTACACATGCTAGTGGATATCAGAGCGGTGGGCGGAGCCAGGAAGGTGTAGATTTCCCTCTGTTGTAATTGCCCCGGCATCTGTCATGAGGGTATCCCACCGGTTACTTCGGCCACCGGATGCTAAGATCTCCTGGCGCTGAATAATAGTAGCAGACGGTGACAGGCCCGCCTTTTGGGTTTATTTTAAAGCAGATTAACTGGAACGTCAGGCTCGTAACCGGGTGTGAACCAGGGCTGCCAATGCTGGGTTTTTCACCCCAGATCTGGGTTTTTATTTTACGCCTTAGGAAAATATGAGGGTTTTCTTTTTAAATATATCTTTTATAAAAGTGGTAAATGTTTTGTTTCGTAACTATAAATTGTGTACATTTTAACAATCTGGGCTTTTTATTTTTTTCTGTATTGCTTGGGTTTGTGTTTAGCGAAGCTGGGTTTAAAAAAAGAAATCCATTGGCAGCCCTGACGCAAACATCAGGCGTGCAAAAATGACCCAACACCAAGGCATTAAAATGTAAGGAACGAGGGAGCCGCGTTAGCGCAGTCGATAGGAGGCTCGCTTTCAAATCCAACAGCGACTCGCTGCAGCCACGGTCGGGTTTTCGAAACCGGGCGGTTCCTGGGGTTCACCCAGCCTCTAGGAAATGGGTAATCTGGTAATCCTAGTTTCAGCTTCATAGCAAACGGGTCACCCCACAGTTGCTCCGCTCCTGTGCCAACGAGAAACAAACGCAGCTCACAGTGTCACGCCATGCACTAAACTCAGAAGCTGGGCGACGAAACTACATCCTGCCAGTCTACAAATGGAGCAAAAATGCAACGGCCACTATCTGGCAGAACTTTAAAAAAAAACATTTGCCACGGCTTAAAAAAAAGGTGGCCATGCCTAGCGTCCATTTTGACCGGAAGCATTATATGAGGGTTAATAAACGGTCACCCCAGCAGTACCCTCACTATTAGCTGGGGAAGGGACTTAGGACATTACATCCACCAGCAGGCGTCGCCCATACAACGACCTACCTGCCATCGTTAACGACTGTTCACCAACAGCCATGCAGTTCTTTGGCACGAAGGAGACACCTTGAACTTGGGGTTCGGACTGCCGATTCCCTACAAGATGTTATTTTATGTTTTGTCATCACAATTGATGTCACTGCACATTGGGCATACCCATGCGTGCTCAGTTCTCCGAAGCAGCAGCAACTCTAAAGTACTTCTACTTAGGAAATAGGTACTCTGGGGTGAATGAACGAACGTCGCTGTAGCTACGGAGTTACGTGCGAATGGCGACACAGGCGGACAGTTTCTTGTCAGCTGTCCGTACTGGTGACAGGGCACTTATGGTTTATAACCGTGTGCAATGACGCTGGTTCACATCTCCCGACTTTACCTTTATGTAAAGGACGAGGAGTTCGGGTTCTAACGGGGTGTGAACATCAGGCTCGTATCTTGACGCCAAGAATGGGCTTGTAACTGGGCGCTCAAAGGCAAAACATGGTCTACAGTCTACAGAAAAGAACAAGAAGCAGGGCTACCAATACTGGGGTTTTTCTCCCAGAATGAGTTTTTTATGTGACGCCTTAGGGAAATCTGGGGTTTTTTTTTAAATGTATCCTTTTAAAAAAAGTAGTAAATATTTTGTTTCGAGGATATAAATTTTGTACTTTTTTAATAATCTGGTGTTTTGTGCTTATGTATTGCTTGGGTTTTTGTTCAGCCTAGCTAGGCCCCCCCCCTCCCCAAATCCTATTGGCAGCCCTGACAAGAAGGCGATTTAGATTTAACATTATTAGGTTGGTAACCAGCACGTATATTAGGCACGTATCGGCGCCTGAACTTTAGGCTCCCTAACAGGACGCTCCATGTCTGCGT